CGCGCGCCCCGCCCCCGCTCCAATCCCGGCGATCGCCTCGCGGGCCTCCGCTGCGGGCCCGTCCCCTCCCCCGGCTCTGGAGAGCGGCGGAGGGGCACGGGGTGCGGCTGGGATTGGTGTCAGGGAAACCCCGGGGAAGCGACTGCTCGGTAGCGTCCGCCGGCTCGTCGCCGCCGCGCGCCCCCGTCTCCTGCCCCGAGCCCCAAGAGAAATGCCCCCTTCTCACCACCGCCCTAGACGGTGCAGGGACTGGAGGCGAGGGCGCTCCAAGCCCAGGCTAGTCCGGGAGGCCGGCGCGGGCGCGCACCTCTCCTCTCGCGTCCTGGGCCCGCGGCCTCTAGCTTGGGCCTCTGTGGAAACCGAACGGCCTCCGAGAGGAAAGCTGGGTGTGCAGAGGGTCGGCGCTGGGATTTATGTGCTCGCCAAAAACAATAGCGATCCCGCCCGGCTCTGGCGGGCCCTGGCGCGACTCCCGCGGGAGGGGGCCCGACGCGCCGCCGCTGACCTCCAGCTTCCAGGCCAGCCGTCCTCGCCGCGCGCTTCCCCCGGACAGTGCCCGCGCCCCCCACTCGCGTCACCCAGAGCGGGTCCAGGGAATCCGTGTGCAGACAAAGGTGCCCGGGTCCACTACTCTGGTTCATGCGGGACAGCAGGCCGAGCCCCTGGACTCCCGGGGGCTAATCCTCTGGCTGGAACTGAAATGGTTTACCTCCACCTTTGTGGGGCGCCTTGCCATTTTGTACCTAGAAATCACGTCTTTTGCAGAAGACCGAGAGCAAGAGGGATGTGATTTTAAAGGGTGAAGCAGCAGTCGTCACGAAGTTAGGGGAAAGCAGTTTGTAGTTCCACGACTGATGAGAATTCTGATAATTGTATAAACTGCCCCCAGAGGGAAACATTTTGAGAAAGTTCTTTGTATAGTTAATGCACTAGAGAGTCATGTTTAGTTGTTAATAGGAGCTGGATTTTTATTCACTACTATGTATAGTCGGTAACTAAAATGTGTTGCTTCCCACAAGAAGATGGCTTTTCGCTAACATCCACTTTCCTCTGTGCCTTTTCGTAATTACTTTTTTTAGATATATTCTTTTATTATGAAGTGCCAAAATAAGCAATGGAAGGCTTCCGTTAACATCGGGAGGGAAAGCACTCAGAATATTCATAAAACCTCTTAAGTCATCAAAACGGTGGAATTAGGGACCCTCATCCTGGCCCTATGAAACAATTGACTCAAAAGAGCAGACCGACGCTTACTGTTTTCCACTGGGGAAATAATTTAAATACCTTTTTGGTTTTGGTTGGAGTTGTTAACCAGCAAAAACACTTCTCTAAATGCCCCTGATTGACCTGTTAAATTAGAACTAGATTGCCTCCCAATTACTTCACAAGTATTTGCTTAATTAAGCCTTAATAATCACATCATTATTCAGTTTTCTGAGATAATGTGAAAAGTTCTTTGGAAACAATTGCCTCGATTTGTTTATTTTGTTTTCTAAGTCTGGAAATTTTTCATTGAAACTAGAATGCATAATTGACTTATCTTCAGTTTTTAAAAAAATGGATGAATTATGGCTAATAAAGTGATCAGCAGGCTATGCTGTTAAAAGCAAGGTTAAGTCAAAAGTTTAAAGCATCTTGTAAAGTGAGGTGACTAAATCATGTTTGATCTAACTTGTGATTAAAACACAACTTTAATGAAACTTATTCTAATAAGTCATAATAAATGGAACCTCCAGATAAAGTTACAGATTCTATAGCAGTTCAAGAGTAAAATAGTGAAATAACACAGACACATTCTTGAATTTAGATCCTTCACTTTATACCAGTGTGGCTGATTGGATAAGCATTTCTTTTAAAAGTCATCATCTGGGGTCATGAATCTCAACCCCTCCCCTTCTCTATCCCCTCACCCCCACCTCCCCCCCCCATGTTCTTATCATTTTCATTCTCCCAACAAATTTTCAACTAATACCCACATTTACTAATCTACATATTTTATATAGTCTAAGCCATAGATAATAAGCCATTTGTGAAATTAACACTTTTTTCATCTAGGTGAAGTTAGAACTTGAGAGGTAAGTTCAAAAATAGTGCACAAAGAACTTTTAGACCAAAGGAAACAGACTAGTCATTGTATGTTGGTATAAGTTATCAAAATACAGACCAAAATAACTAGACCAAATATTATTGTGAAATTTACTCTAAGTGTACTTTGATATAAAAATTAAATGAAAATGGTAATAAAGCTTATGTACATAAGACTCAGTAAGAATCTTATTCTCTATAGTAAAAGGCTCCCAACTCCCTTACCCCCCACTCCCAGCTCTAGAAGCAATATATAGTTCAGTATTTAATTGCTGGCCATAATTAGATTCTGCAACTGATTCCCTGGCTAAATTCCAGTATCCAAGGTAGAGAAGAAGAAAACTAGCCCCTAACCAATAAATCCCAGAATAGAACACTTCCGAGTCACAGCAGATTTTACCTAGGAGTCACCATATCCTAAAAACATATTTTTCTTCTACACGGACTTTGGCATTTTTACATTTGTCCTTTACATTCCACTAGGTAAGACTATTTCTCCCTTTCTCTTTCATAAAGCCACCTGTTTCAGGGAGCCATCTGTGATTAAACCTAATTAAGAAGGATATGTGTTCCTTAAGGACAAAAACTACACAGTGTTCATTTTACTTGTTACACATTGTTTAATCACATATCTTTAATTCAACAACAATCTATTAATTCAACAAATATTTTTGAGGACCTGTTATATGCCAGATGTTGTGTGGGTACTAGGACAACCAAAGTATTAGTTCATTCACTTGGTATTTAGAAAAATGCATGCTATGTCTCAGGGCCTGCCCTTTGTCAGGGGAATGCAATAGTGAGCCACATAGACAAAGTTCCTAGTCTAGTACAAAAGATAAACAATTATAAGAAAATGTGAAGAGCATTATGGTAAGGAAGATAAGGAGTGTGGGAAACATAATAAGAGTATCTAACCTGACTAAATTGTGTGAGAGGGCAAAAGGGGAGGGGGAGGGGAGGAGGAATTAGAGAAGCAGCCCTGGTCTCTAAGCTGAGCCAGCTAGGAGGAAAGGAAGGTTGCTGTGAGCCACCCTGCAGAGGGATTTGACTTTGCATTTGCATTTTAGAAGGCTCACTGAAATGGCTTACTGGGGTGTACACTGGAAGGAGACCAGACCAATAAAATCATTCAGATTTTGTTAACATTAGTCTAGGGAGAAGGAGATTTAGAGAAGTGAACAGATATCAGATTGGGAGATAGAAACAACAGGGGTGTCTGAGAGAGAGAGAAATGGGTGACTCAGATTTCAACTTGGGCAGCTGAATGAAGGTGGTAGTATTCACTGAGAGGTAAACAAGGAAGATGAGTAGATAGAGGGCAATGTGGGCTTAACTTCGGACAAATATAACTTAAAATGCCCATGGAACATCTGAGTAGCAGTATCCATAAACTCTTTTTGGGGTCTGGAATTTAGCAGGGAGAACTAGGCTAGAGACAAGAATCATCAACATATATCACATGACTGAATATAAGGTGTCTCTAAAAACGGATAACCCCCATATGCCGCTGTAAAACTTTGTGGTCAACTTTAATATGTAAACTTTTAGAGATCCAGGTGAAATAATCAAGGATCTACTTATTGAATATTGAATGTGTTGATTGAATAACACATACTGTAAATTACATATTGTATAAAACATCATTTAAAAATAACTTTATTGTAACTTTTCACAGTGTTTTGATCATCACCAGAGTCACATGTTGAGTCTGACTTAGTTTCCCAGGGTACATCATCTTTACTTCAATGTAAATTTTTGATATTATATATGATGCCACTGGAGATTTATTCCAGGCCACAATATCTAATCACACCACATCATTCATCCTGTGATCATATTTACTTATATTGCTTTTTTGCAGTGACCTTTAAGGTTTCGTTTACAAGGACATCCAACACTTATAAATTTATTTTCTTATTAATAATTTCTAGATCTGTGTTCAATTTCTTTGCTTCCTTTCTTACCAATTCTGTTTTCCATGTGAACATTAAAATAAGATCATTTCATGCTAATGTATATTCTTCCAAAGAGCATTTTGTTGTTAAAAATAATTGAGAAGACATCCACCCACTAACATGAAGGACTTTTCAGGATCAGAATCTATAGTCCCCTCTTTTCTGAGCAATTATTGCAGTGGGGATAGGAAGGGTGGAAAAGGCTGCGAATTTGGTCTTATATTCTGAGCAATATGGTAATAACAAGATTGTCCCTGTAGAGTGTAAGACTAAGAGGAAGATTGAAGTTTAGGATCAAACTGGAGGAAAACCTTGTTTAAGGAATAGAAGAAAAAGAGGAGCTTGCAAAGGAACCATCAGATATGTAAAAGGAAAACCAAAGACTGTTATCATAGAAACCAAGGAAAGAAAGTGTTTCAGGAATGCAGGAGTGGTTGATAGTGTCACATGTCTCCGAGAGGTCAAATAAGGTAAGACTGAAAAATATCCGTTGGATTTAGTGATAAGGAAGTGATGGCAACCTTAGCAAATGCAATTAC